GCCTTAGCCACTTGAGCCACAGGTGCCAAGCCTCAACTTTCTCCTATTAGAAAATTTAACAAGAAATCACAAGAAAGGTGCTGAAATTTAGAAACGACTTCCAAAGCATGATACCAGGATTCAGTTTCTGAAACTGGGACATCTAAGCAGGCATGTTTACACTCTCCTCTTAAAATGCAGGTCAAACTGTATTTGTATTTGACCCAAGTTTCCATTCACTGTTATTGCTGTTGTTTTTTGAATGTAGTGTTTATTTTCTTTTTGTTCAGAAATTAGTATTGAAGTATGTTTTGAATTGCATGAGGAATTTCCACTAACGTAGTTGAGGCTCATAGAGTACCCTAGGAATTTAAAGTCTATAAAAATTTATAATTTTCTCTTTTTTTTTTTTTTTGAGACAGAGTCTCACTATGTCACCCCTCAGTAGAGTGCTATGGTTTCACAGCTCACAGCAACCTCCAACTCTTGGGCTTAAGCGATTCTCTGCCTCCCAAGTAGCTGGGACTACAGGTGCCCACCACAACGCCAGCTATTTTTTTGTTGTTGTTGCAGTTATTGTTGTTTTGCTGGCCAGGGCTGGGTTTGAACCCGCCAGCCTCAGTGCATGTGACTGGCGCCCAACCCATTGTTCTATACGGGCGCCACCTATAATTCATTTTTTATAAAATGAGATGTTAAATATACCTACCACAGTAGCACATTAAATGTATCATACTTTTTCTACTATAAAGTATTATAACCATTTTTCCTCATATGCATATGCATTCTTTTTCTTCTCTTACTTTGGAACCATTACTCTTAACTGTCTGTATGTATTCCTGTGTGCATATGAATGTTTAGGGGACACAGTCTTAGTAACTAGTTATTTAGGTTACATATTATTTTACTTCAAGGGTAATTAATGACTATACTTTTAGGGATCACTTCTATAGTTTATTAGTAGAGAAGTATCTCTGAATATGTAGAGCACAGAGAAGATACATCAATGTATATTGATACATATATGTATATAGATATATAGCAAATATTTTATCTAAAGGGAGAGGTAGACTCCAGCATAGTCAATACAGTGATAGTTGAGGACTTCCCAGCACCTCAAAGATGATTTCAGATCATCTTTATTTTTTATTTTTTAATTTTGGATTAATATAAGGGTAAAAACAATTAGGTTACAATGTTTCTGTTTGTTAGGTAAGGTCCCTGTTGTGGTTGTGCCCCTCAACCAGGAGGTGTGCCGTATACCCTTACATTGTGCCCATTAAGTGAGATCACACCAATCCCAATCCCCCTCCCTCTTCCCTTCTCCTTCCTTTCTCCCTCCCTTCTCTTCCTTCCTTCCCTTTCCCCCAACTTGAATTAAATTAAATGTTTCTTTTGTGTGAGCATATATTAGTTTGTCTACTGGCTTCTTGTTAGTATTGAATACATTGGCCACTTGCTTTTCCATTCTTGGGATTCTTTACTGAAGAGAATGTTTGCAACTCTATCTAGGTTAATACAAAAGATGTAAAGTCTGTTGTTGTTGGGGTTTTTTTTGAGACAGAGTCTCACTATGTCGCCCTTGGTAGAACGCCATGGCATCTCAGCTCACAGCAACCTCAGACTTTGGGCTTAAGTGATTCTCTTACCTCAGTCTCCCAAGTAGCTGGGACTACAGGCACCCACCACAACACCTGGTTATTATTTTTGTTGCAGTTGTCATCGTTGTTTAGCTGGCCCGGGCTGGGTTCGAACCCACCAGCTCCAGTGTATGTGGCCGGTGCTGTAACCACAGTGCTATAGGTGTCAAGTCAAGTCTCCATCTTTCTATGGCTGAATAGTATTCCATAGGTATTCCATGGCATATATATATCACAGTTTATTAATCCAGTTATGGGTTGATGAGCACTTAGATCAATTTCATTTCTTGGCAATTGTAAATTGAGCTGCAATAAATAATCTAGTACACATATCCTTATGTTAAAATGATCAGACCATCTTTCTAGACAGAAAAACATTGGATTTAAATTACTCTTTAGACCAAATGGACTTAACAGACATTTATAGAATATTTTGCCCCATAGCTACAAAATAACATTCTTCTTATTAGCACATGGAACATTCTCCAGGACAGACCATATCTTAGGTGACAAAACAAGTCTTTTTTTTTTTTTGCAGTTTTTGGCCAGGGCTGGGTTTGAACCCACCACCTCCCGCATATGGGACCAGCGCCCTAGTCCTTTGAGCCACAGGCGCCGCCTGACAAAACAAGTCTTAACAAATTTTTATAAATCAAAATCATATCAAGTATCTTTTCAGGTCACAATGGAATAAAACCAGAGATCAACAATAGGAATTTGGAAACTATACATAGATGGAAATTAAACAACATGCTCCTAAACCTTCATTGGATAAATGAAGAAGGTGATTCTGAAGTTTTTTTGAAAATAATGAAATCGGAAATACAACATACCAAAACCTATGGGATACCACAAAAACAGTGCTAAGAAAGAAGTTTATAGCAGTAAGCACCCAAATCAGAAAAAATAGAAAGATTTCAAATAAACAATGTAACAATTCACTTCAAAGAACTAGAACAGCAAAAATTAGTAGTAAATAAAGAAATAAAGTAGTAAAGAAATAGCAAAGATCAGAGCAGAACTAAACAAAATAGTAACTGAAAAAAAAAATAGAAAGGATCAATGAAACAAAAAGTTTTTCCAAAACAGGTAAAATCAATAAACTATTGACTAATCAATAAAAAGAGACAACTCAAAATAAGTCAAGAGAAAGACAATATAATTGATGCCATAGAAATACAGAGTCATCAGAGACTGTTACTAACAACCATACATTAACAATTGGAAAATCTAGAGGAAATGGATAAATTGCTGGTCACATAAACCTACCAGGAGATTGATCTTGGAAGAAATAGAAAACACAAATAGGCCAAAAATAAATAATGAGATTGATTCAATAATAGAAGATCACTCAAAAAGAAAAGCCCAGGGATAGATGGCTTGACTGCTGAAATCTACCAAACATAAGAACTAGCAACAGTTCTTCAGCTATTTAAAAAATTTGAAGAGGAGGAAATTATTCCTAAATCACTCTATGAGGCCAGCATTACCCTGATGATAAAACCAAATAAGTATACACACACACACACACAAAAAAAAATAGGCCAATATCCCAACATAGATAGAAAAATTCTCATCAAAATACTAGCAAGCTGAGTCCAACAACACATCAAAAAATAGTATCAACAAGTGGGATTTATCCCAAGAATGAAAGGATGATTCAACATATGCAAGTCAATAAATGTGAGACATCTCATAAGTAGAATTAAGGACAAAAACCATATGATCATCTTAGTGCAGAAAAAGTAATTGACAAATTCAACATTCCTTCATTATAAAAAAATCAACAAATTAGGTATAGAAGGAACATACTTCAATATAACAAAGGGCATATATGACAAATCCACAGCTAACATCATCCTGAATGGAGAAAAGCTGAAAACCTTGGTGGAATAAAACAAGGATGCCTGCTTCACCACTCCTATTAGATGTAGTACTGGAAATCCTAGAGAGAGTGATAAGACAAAAGAAAGAAAAAGCATTCACATTGTAAAAGAGGAAATCAAAACTGTCTCTGCAGATGGCATGATCTCAAAGGTAGAAAAACCTAAAGACTCCACCAACACACTGTTAGAACTGATAAAACAAATTCAGTAAAGTTGTGAAATATAAAATCACCCTCCAAAAGTCAGTGGCATTTCTGCATACCAGTAAGGAACTAGCTAAAAAGAAGCCCAGAAAGCAATCTCACTTGTAATAGCTACAAAACAAAAAAAATACCTAGGAATAAATTTAACAAAGGAAGTGAAAGATGTATGCAAGGAAAACTTACAAAACATTGATGAAAGAAATTGAAGAGGACACAAACAATTCAAAAGGCATTTCATGCTTATGAATTGGAAGGATTAATACTGCTAAAAATAACTCTACTACCCAAAGCCACTTACAGGTTTAGTGTGATTCGTAAAAAAAACTAGTAATATTCTTCACAAAAATGGGGGGAAGAATCCTAAACTTTGTAGGACCCAGTTAACCAAAATAATCCTGAGCAAAAAGAACAAAGCTGGAGAAACTATACTACCTAACTTTAAAATATGCTACTAAAGGTACAGTAATCAAAACATCATGATATTGGTATAAAAATAGGCACACAGATATGAAACACGACAGAGAACCCAAAATAAAAACATGTATTTGCAGCCAACTGATTTTCAACAAAGGTGCCAAGAATGTACATTAGAGAATATATACCACTTTAATAAATGAGGCCAGGTAAAAGGGATATTCATAATACAGGAGAATGAAACTAGACCCCTAACTCTCACCGTCTACAGAAATAAAGTAAAAATTGACTAAAGATGAAATGTAATAACCAAAACTATAAAACTACTAGAAAAACAAACATAGGAAAAACCCTCTAAGACATTGCTCTAGGTAAAGATTTTATGGCTAAAACATCATATGGAGGCAGCAAAAGTAAAAATAGACAGATAAGAATATATTATAATAAAAAACTTCTGCTCAGCAAAGGAAACAATCAAAAGAGTGAAGAGAAATAAATATCCAAAAAATATCTGGAAACTATTCCTCCAACAAAGGACAAATACTCAAATAAGGAACTCGAAAGTGAGCCTCTTCACCCACCTACTTGAGAGGCTGACACAGAGGATTGCTTAAGTTGAGGAGTTCAGATCCAGCCTGCATAACTAATGAGACCCCATACAAAAAAAAGAAAAAAAAAAAGTTGGGCTGGATGTAACATAGCATCTTAGAGCTGTAATCCTAGCACTTTGGGAGGCCACAAGAGATTGCTTGAGGCTGGGAGTTTGAGACCAGCCTGCATGATGTAAGTGAAACCCCCTCTCTACAAAATATTAAAAAATCAGCTGGGCATGTGACATGTGCCTGTAGTCTCAGTTACTCAGGAGGCTGAAGCAGGAGGATTGCTTGAGCCCAGGAGTTCAAGGTTATAGTAGGCTGTGATCGTGTCTCTACCTAGACAGCTGTGTGAGACCCTATCTCTATAAATATATAAGTTGATCTCATGGAGGTAGAGGGTAGAATGATAGTTACCAGAGCCTGGAAAGGGTATGAGGGTGGGGGAGTATTGAAGAGGGTCTGGCTAATGGGTACAAACATGTAGTTAGAACAGATAAGTTCTAGTGTTTGATAGCACAGTAGGGTAACTATAGTTAATAATAATATGTTGTATATTTCAAAATAACTGGAAGAAAAGATTTGAAATGTTCCCA